TAAAATTTCTCTACCTATACCTCTCTATACCTCTACCTCCGTACCTATACCTATCTCTACCTCTCTCTACCTTATACCTCTCGGCTACCTCACTCTCTCTACCTCTCTCTACCTCTACCTCATAGCACATCTACCTCTCTACCTTCTTACCTCTACCTCTCGCTAACCTCGAATCGCTCTACCTGTAACTACTCTAGAACATATAACTATAGCGACGCTAACATCTCTCGACAGGTCTGATACCTCTATCTACCTCTACCTCTAATCTACTAACTATATCTACAGTAACCTCTCGCTACCCTCTCGAACTCTCTCTACCTCTCTCTACTATACCATATCTCTACACTTTCATATACCTCTATCTAAATCCTATCTCACCTGTACCTACTCGACAATCTACCGCTCTCTACATATAACTCTCTTACCTCCCTCTCTCTACCTGTACCTCTCGCTACCTCTCTCTACCTCTCTCTACCTCTCTCTACCTCTACCTCTCTCTACCTCTCTACCTTACCTCTCTCTACCTCCCCTCTACCTGTACCTCTCTATACCTCTAAATGTAAATCTCTTCTAACCTTACCTATCTTCTACCTCTTACCTCTCGCTACCTCTACCTCTCGATACTCTACTTTCTACCTCTACCTCTCTTACCTTCTACCTCTCTCTAACTTACCTGTCTCTACCTCTCGTACCTCTACATCTACTCTCGCACCTCTACCTATCGCTACCTCTACCTCCCCTCTCTAAATCTATTCTACCTATCTATACTCTACCTCTCTCACTCCCTCTCCTCTACCTCTACCTCTCTCTACCTTGTACCTCTCTCTACCTGTACCTCTCTCTACCTATACCTCTCTCTACTTCTACCTCCTTCTACCTCTCTCTACCTTTACCTCTCTCTACCTCTACCTCTACCTCTCTCTACCTGTGACCCTCTATCTACCTGTACTCTCCTACTGTACCTCTCTCTACCTCTACCTCTCTCTACCTCTCTCTACCTCTACCTCTCGCTACCTCTACCTCTACCTATCTCTACCTTCTACTCTCGGGCTACCTAACCTAGACCTTCTCTACCTTTACCTTCTCTCTACCTCGCTTACCGGCTACATCTCTCTACCTTTACCTCTCTCTACCTCTACTCTAAAGCGCGCGACACGGGACACGAGCGAACGAGAGCTAACCGCGACAGAGCGCGACCGGGACAGCAGAGAGAAACGAGACCGCGCGACCGCGACACGAGCGCGAGCGCGAAGCGCGCGACAGAGAGCGAACGAGAAAGCGCGAGACAAGCGACCGCGCGCCACCGAGACCGAGAACCGCGCGCGAACGCGACCGCGAGAGACCCGCGACCGCGCGCGCGACCGGAGACCCGCGCCACGCGACCGCGCGCGACAGCGCGCGACCGGCGCGACGGCGACCGAGCGCGACCGCGCGGACGAGACAGCGCGCGACCGCGCCGACCGCGACCGCGGCGAGAGCCCGCGCCAGCGCGCACCGCGCGCGACCGCGACCGCGCGCGGACCGCGACCGCGCGAGACGCGAGGCAGCGAGCGACCGCGAGCGACCGCGACGGCGCGACCGCGAACGCAGCGCGACCGCGCGCGAACGTCGGCCCTATCGCAGAACATCTAACGCTATCGAAATCTACAATATCTGAAACCTAGCTAACTCTCTCCTCTCTAACTCTACCTTCGAGAAATATACATATATACCTCTACCTATCTCTACCTCTACCTCTCTCTCAACTTACATCTCCACATCTACCTTCTACCATATCCTACTCTACCTATCATCACCTCTCTATACACTTACCTCTCTCTACCTCTAAATCCTCTCTACCTCTCTATACCTCTACCTATCCTCTACCTCTACCTCTCTATCCCTACCTCTCTATACCTCTACCTCTCGCTAACCTCTACCTCTCTTACCTTATCGACCTCTTCTCTACCTCTACTCTCGCTACCTCTACCTCTCTCTACCTTCTCTACCTCTTTACCTCTCGCTACCTATACCTCTCATCTACCTCTCTCTACCTTCTACCGCTCGCTACCTCTACCTCTATCTACCTGTACCTCCTCTACCTCTACCTCTCTCTACCTCTACATATCTCTACTCTACATCTCTCTACCTTACCTCTCTATACATTTCTTACCTCTACCTCTTCTCTACCTCCCTCTCTATAACTGTACCTTCGCCTACCTCTCTATACCTCTCTCTACCTCTCTCTACCCTCTCTCTACTTCTACCTCTCTCTACTCTCTCTACCTTCTCTTACCTTCTCTACATGGCCTTCTCTTACCTGTTACCTCTCTATACCTCTACCTGTACCTCTCTCTAACCTCTAACCCTAGCTACCTCTACCTCGCGATACCTCTTACCTCTCGCTACCATCTACCTATCTCTACTCTACCTGTATCACCTACGCTACCTCAACCTCTTATCGCTACCTCTACTTCGCTACCTCTAACTCTCGCTACCTCTACCTCTCCTATCATCTCTCTACCTCCGATATCACCTCTACCTCTATCTTCTACTGTACCTCTATCACATGTACTCTCAATACCTCTACCTCTCTCTACTTCTACATCACTTCACCCCTCTCTATACCTTTACCTCTCTCTACCTCTACCTCCTACTCTCTTACCGGTAACCTCTCTCCTACCGTACCTCTCTCTACTCTACCTCTCTCTACCTCTCTTACCTCTACCTCTCGCTACATCTACCTCTCTTACCTTTACTTCTCTACCTCTACCTCTACATCTCTCTACCTTTACCTCTCTCTACCTCGCTCTACCTCTACATCTCTCTACCCTTTACCTCCTCTCGACCATCTACATCTACATCTCTCTACCTTTACCTTTCTACTCGCTTACCTCTACATCTCTATACCTTTACCTTCTCTCTAACTCTTCACCTCTATACTCTACCTCGCTCTACCTCTACCTCGCTCTACCTCTACCTCGCTTCCTCTACCCTATATACCTCTATCTACCTTACCTCTCTAGACATCGACCTCTCTCAAATTAGACCTCTTACCTCTCTCTACCTCTACTCTCTCTTACCTCTACCTCTCTCTCTACCTCTACCTCTCTCTACCTCTACCTCTCTCTACCTCTACCTCTCTCTACCTCTCTCTACCTCTACCTCTCGCTACCTCTACCTCTCTCTACCTCTACCTCTCGCTACCTCTACCTCTCTCTACCTCTCTCTACTCTACCTCTCGCTACCTCTACTCTCTTACCTCTTACCTCTCGGCTACCTCTACCTCTCGCCTACCTCTACCTCTCTCTACCTCTACCTCTCGCTACCTCTACCTCTCTCTACCTCTACCTCTCTCTAACCTCTACCTCTCTCCACCTCTACCTCTACCTCTCTCTACCTCTACCTCTATATACTTACCTCTCTCTACCTCACCGATCTACTACACTCTACCTCTATCCACCTACCTCTACATCTCTCTAACCTCACATCTATCTACTCTCTCTACCTCTACCTCTCCTACCTCTACATCTCTCACCTCTCTCTAACATCTACTCTCTACTACCTCTACATTCTCTCTACCTCTTCTACTCACCTCTCTCTACCTTACCTATATCTACCTCTACCTCTAGCTACCTCTACCTCTCTCTACCCTCTTACCTCTACTCGGACGAGACCCTTACCTATCCTACCTCTACCTCTCGTACCTATACTCTCTCTACCTCTCTTCTACCTCTACATCTCGCTACAGATAAAGAGACGAGACAGTAGAGAGAAAGAGGGAAAGAGAGGAGAAAGGGGACAGCGAGTGAACTATAGAAGAGAGAGAAAGAGAAAGTGAGAGAGGAAAGAGAAAGAGAAGCGACAAAGAGCAGAAAGAGAAGGAGAAATAGAAAGAGAGAGAAAGAAACGAGAGAGAAAGGTAAAGGATAGAGAAAGATGCTGATACCGAATATAGAAATAGAAAGAGCTAGACAGAGAAGTAGCTAAAGGGAGAGAACGAGAGATAAAGCGGAAGAGAGAGAAAGAAAGCGAGAGAAAGGGAAAGAAGAGAGAACAGGAAAGAGAGAGAAAGAAAGCGAGAGAAAGGGAAGAGAGCTAGCGAAAGATAGGAGGACATAGCGAGACGAGAAAGAGAGAGAACGAGAAAGCGAGCGAAGAGAAACGCTGCGCGACAGCGAGAACGCGAAAGAGAGTAAAGAAATATAGCGAACGGTAAAGAGAAGGAAACGATAAGGGTAACTGCTCAGAACGCATAATAGAGAGAGAACTAGAATATATAGAACGCGAAGAGAGAAGTAAATCGACGATAAGGAGAAAGGGAGACCGATGAGATAAAGAGAAAGTAGTATCGAACTGAGAACTATCTCTACGCTAAAGGGCATCTACATCTAGAGGAAAGCTAAATGAACTATCCACCATATACCTCTCTATAACATTCTATCTAACATATATATACAGATGTAGATAACTCTAAATTATAGATACACTCAATATATTAACTTAAAACCTCTCTCTACAGTGACTCTCTCTACCCTACCTCTATCTAATTCATACCTCCTTCTACATATCTCGAACTGTACCTCTCTACTACTTCTACCTTCTCTAATCTCTACCTCCTTCACCTACTCTATAAACCTTACCTCTCTCTACTCTACCTCTACCTCTTCTACATGTACCCTCTCTAACATGACCTCTCTCTACCTCTCATATACATCTACCGCTCGCTACCTCTACCTCTACCTCTCTCTACCTCTCTCTACCTCTACCTCTCGCTACCTCTACCTCTACCTCTCTCTACCTTTACCTTTACCTCTCTCTACCTACATCTACTTACCTCCTCTACCTCTACCTCTACATCTCTCTACCTTTACCTCTCTCTACCTCGCTCTACCTCTACATCTCTCTACCTTTACCTCTCTCTACCTCTACCTCTCTACCTCTACCTCTCTCTACCTCTCTCTTCCCCTTTTTCTCTGTCCCTCTGTCTTTCTACCCCTCTTTCTAGCTCTTATTTGATCATGCTTTTTCGCGCTCTCTGTATCTCTACCTCTGTTGGCTCTTGTTTGGTTCCTGTTTTCTTTATTCAATTCAAAGGGTTTTATTGGGAAACATATGTTTACATTGCAAAAGCAAATGTTTTCTATGTCAGGTGTAGTTACCCGTTTTCTTTATGTCAGGTGTAGTTACCCGTTTTCTTTATCTCCCTGTCTTTCAGATAATATTTCTCTCCTCTCTCCTTTTCTCCTTCCCTAAATCTCTGGTCAGCTTTCTCTCGTTCTCGCTCTCTCTCTCACTCTCTTTTTTTTTCTCTTTCTCCCTCTCAATCTCTCTCTCTCGCTCATTCTCGCTCTCCCTCCTGATCTCTCTTGCTCTCTCCCTCTCAATCTCTCTCTCCTTCTCAATCTCTCTTGCTCTCTCTGTGTGTTTCTTTCTCCTTCCCTCTCTCTCTGGGCCTGTTACTAGTGGTGACAGCATTTCTCCCCAGATGTCCTCTCTCCCCTGCCACCTGGAGTAGAGAGGGTGCTGCCTGGTTGCTCACTCACCTGCTGTGACTCAAACTGGCCAGTGGCCCCCCACACACACACACACACACACACACACACACACACACACACACACACTGTCAGTCAGTCAGTCAGTCATTCACTTAGACACATATTCATATTAATACATGCATACACTCTCCTTTGTTAGCATATATTAGCATATATACAGTGAGGGATAAAAGTATTTGATCCCCTGCTGATTTTGTACGTTTGCCCACTGACAAAGAAATGATCAGTCTATAATTTTAATGGTAGGTTTATTTGAACAGTGAGAGACAGAATAACAACAAAAAACACGTCAAAAATGTTATAAATTGAATTTCATTTTAATGAGGGAAATAAGTATTTGACCTCCTCTCAATCAGAAATATTTCTGGCTCCCAGGTGTCTTTTATACAGGTAAGGAGCTGAGATTAGGAGCACACTCTTAAAGGGAGTGCTCCTAATCTCAGCTTGTTACCTGTATAAAAGACACCTGTCCACAGAAGCAATCAATCAATCAGATTCCAAATCTCCACCATGGCCAAGACCAAAGAGCTCTCCAAGGATGTCAGGGACAAGACTGTAGACCTACACAAGGCTGGAATGGGCTACAAGACCATCGCCAAGCAGCTTGGTGAGAAGGTGACAACGGTGCGATTATTCGCAGATGGAAGAAACACAAAATAACTGTCAATCTCCCTCGGCCTGGGGCTCCATGCAAGATCTCACCTTGTGGAGTTGCAATGATCATGAGAACGGTGAGGAATCAGCCCAGAACTACACGGGAGAATCTTGTCAATGATCTTAAGGCAGCTGGGACCTTAGTCACCAATAAAACAATTGGTAACACACTACGCCGTGAAGGACTGAAATCCTGCAGCGCCCGCAAGGTCCCCCTGCTCAAGAAAGCACATATACAGGCCCGTCTGAAGTTTGCCAATGAACATCTGAATGATTCAGAGGAGAACTGGGTGAAAGTGTTGTGGTCAGATGAGACCAAAATCGGGCTCTTTGGCATCAACTCAACTCGCCGTGTTTGGAGGAGGAGGAATGCGTTTCTTAATACTCCTCAATACTCCTAATTGGCTTCCTTGTCTCGCGCTCTAAGCATAATATTTATGGGATTAAGGTCTGGAGACTGGCTAGGCCACTCCAGGACCTTAATGTGCTTCTTCTTGAGCCACTCCTTTGTTGCCTTGGCCGTGTGTTTTGGGTCATTGTCATGCTGCCTATGACCCCAAGAACACCATCCCCACCGTCAAACATGGAGGTGGAAACATTATGCTTTGGGGGTGTTTTTCTGCTAAGGGGAAATGACTTCACAGCATCAAAGGGACGATGGACGGGGCCATGTACCGTCAAATCTTGGGTGAGAACCTCCTTCCCTCAGCCAGGGCATTGAAAATGGGTCGTGGATGGGTATTCCAGCATGACAATGACCCAAAACACACGGCCAAGGCAACAAAGGAGTGGCTCAAGAAGAAGCACATTAAGGTCCTGGAGTGGCCTAGCCAGTCTCCAGACCTTAATCCCATAGAAAATCTGTGGAGGGAGCTGAAGGTTCGAGTTGCCAAACGTCAGCCTCGAAACCTTAATGACTTGGAGAAGATCTGCAAAGAGGAGTGGAACAAAATCCCTCCTGAGATGTGTGCAAACCTGGTGGCCAACTACAAGAAACGTCTGACCTCTGTGATTGCCAACAAGGGTTTTGCCACCAAGTACTAATTCATGTTTTGCAGAGTGGTCAAATACTTATTTCCCTCATTAAAATGCAAATCAATTTATAAAATTTTTGACATGCGTTCTTCTGGATTTTATTGTTGTTATTCTGTCTCTCACTGTTCAAATAAACCTACCATTGAAATTATAGACTGATCATGTCTTTGTCAGTGGGCAAACGTACAAAATCAGCAGGGGATCAAATCCTTTTTTCCTTCACTGTAGTTGTATGCATAGTTATGACCATCCACACAGGTCCATTTCAGGCGTGATAGTGCTAACTCTGTTGCAGTGTCCTGTCCCACTCAGCAGAAAGCCCTGTTAGTGTCCTGTCCCACTCAGCAGAAAGCCCTGTTAGTGTCCTGTCCCACTCAGCAGAAGGCCCTGTTACAGTGTCCTGTCCCACTCAGCAGAAGGCCCTGTTAGTGTTCTGTCCCACTCAGCAGAAGGCCCTGTTAGTTTCCTGTCCCACTCAGCAGAAGGCCCTGTTAGTGTCCTGTCCCACTCAGCAGAAGGCCCTGTTAGTGTCCTGTCCCACTCAGCAGAAGGCCCTGTTAGTGTCCTGTCCCACTCAGCAGAAGGCCCTGTTAGTGTCCTGTCCCACTCAGCAGAAGGCCCTGTTAGTGTCCTGTCCCACTCAGCAGAAGGCCCTGTTAGTGTCCTGTCCCACTCAGCAGAAGGCCCTGTTAGTGTCCTGTCCCACTCAGCAGAAGGCCCTGTTAGTGTCCTTTTCCACTCAGCAGAAGGCCCTGTTAGTGTCCTGTCCCACTCAGCAGAAGGCCCTGTTAGTGTCCTGTCCCACTCAGCAGAAGGCCCTGTTAGTGTCCTGTCCCACTCAGCAGAAGGCCCTGTTAGTGTCCTGTCCCACTCAGCAGAAGGCCCTGTTAGTGTCCTTTTCCACTCAGCAGAAGGCCCTCATTCATATTGCATATCTCCACCCTGTCCCCTTGGCGCTCTCTCCTCCTCTCCCTTTCTCTACCTCCCTCTCTCGTTCTCGCCCAGTCCACTTGGCTGTCTTTCTCTATCTCTCTCTGTCAATCTCTCTCTCCACCCTCCCTTTCTCTCCCTCCCTCCCTCTCTCCCCCTGAGCTCCCCCGCGAAGTGTGTGACAAGCTGAACACAGGAAGAAGAAGAAACAACAAAAAGCCCCTCAGAGTTTTCCCCCTTGAACACTCAGCATCCCTCTCCACACATACACACACAGAGACACACCACATTCACACCCCAAGGGCAGCTTGCTCGGGGGTTGCCATGGAGACAGGACCAGGGCGAGAGGCAGGGAGGGAGGAGGAAAGGAAGAGAGAGGGATAGAGTGAAGATGAATGAGGAATGTTGGGGTGTACTCAATTGATCCCTGTTTTTTTAAAGCCATGGCGGGGCGTTTCTTAATACTCCTCAATACTCCTAATTGGCTTCCTTGTCTCGCGCTCTAAGCATAATATTTATTAGAGGACTAAAGATTCCCAGTCATCTCTCAATGCTGTGGATTTATTTGACCAACGTTCCGTCTCAACCAATTTGTAAGTCGCTCTGGATAAGAGCGTCTGCTAAATGACTTAAATGTAAATGTAAATGTCAACAGCCTTCAGCAGGGTGACCTAACCCCTTTACCTCCCTTCTCCTCCTCTTCCACCCCCGTTAGGAGGATGCGCGTGCGGACGTGGTGGACAGCCTGGTGCGGGATATCCAGAACACCCAGTGTCTGCTCAACGTGGAGCACAGCGGCGTCACCTGCCCCCACGTCACACTGCAGTTCGCCGACTCCAAGGACGACGTCGGCCTCAGCCTGGTCAAGGAGGGCATGGTCATGGTGGACGTGCGGAAAGAGAAGCACCTGCAGAAAATGGTAGGAAAACGGCCGCCTTGGCGGAATTCTAAGAGATAAATGAACGTTTTCAGTTTTATGGTGACTTTGTCAGGGCACTATGGCCAAAACAGATGTGTTTTATGTACCAGTGCAAGCAACGGGCCATTGGGACACATGTATTAGTGTTAGAGTTGAGAAAAGGTAACACTGACATGTGCCAGATGTTTTCAGGTCATAGTGACTTTGTCAGGGCCAAAACATGATACTGGGTGACAGTGTATGTGACTGGCTTGCTGTGAAGAGTCTATTTGAGCGAAGCTGTTAGCCTTATGCTACCATGCTAACAGATCAGTGTTTTGTTATGAATAAGTGCTAGCATTTGGCTAAATGCTGACGTGTTTAGTAATCAAACATGAAGACAGATCTGAAGCGATGCATCTCTCCGATCCTGTCGTTACATCTAGCGCTCAGCAGGACAGGCCCCTCTGACGGCGGCCATTTTTTAATGTCATAAAGCGCAGCTCGTTTGCCTTCCCTCATTATGTAATTCAGCTGGCAGACGCAAAGCCTCTCTGTAAATGAAAGATAAAGGCACAAAACTGAAATATTTATTCCTGCCGCAATTACCGCTCCTACACACCCCAACATTACTCCACTCTGTCATTTAGGTACAAATTGGCACACACACATTCACACACACAAAGACACGGAAATGGGCTCACGGGTTGGAACACAAACACTCATAAACATATGAATGCATACCAACACACACACACACACCACAGCATTTTTGACGAAATCACCCTTGTTTCCCAATATCACCACTAAACTTTTTACAACCCAATGAAAGACTCTTAGTCTGCCCACGTCAGTCAATAAGTAACTGTATAGCGCTCTATTTGTCGCCAGGCAGCTCACCTTTGACTCTTTAGGGCCACTATGAGACTGTAAACAGTGTTGTTGGAACGACCCACTGGGACAGAGTCAGAGCAGTGATTTAAAACCCTGCTGTCCACTAAAACAGGCTAATGGAGCCATGCAGTCTGTCAGGCCTGTTTTTCTTATGCTGGTCATGTCTCCTCTGCTGCTCCCTCTGAAATGATGCTAGCTGTTCAGACTGTGATGTGAAGGGTTCATGTCTTTCATTGATATGGTCTAAAGTGGTATAGTTTTAATAGTCTGGACAGGTGAAAGCACCCTGAAGGCCTTGTACCTTATCACTTTAAAGTCCCCCTGGCAAACAAAGCCCCTCTGTCACCTAAAAACTGATCACTAACTGAGCTCAGCTTCCATTTTCTCAAATGGCCTAAATGTTTTAATGTTTAAAGCTGGAATGCTTAGCGGTGAAACTCCCACGTCCGTTTGCGATATTACAACAACGAACAGTTTTTTTTCCTCCTGACATCATTGCACATCATTGTATTCTGGGTGAAAAATGTATGTTCTCAGGCGCTGGTATTGTTTTATAGAGGAGAGAGGGATTTGTTAGATTTATTTGAAGGAAAGCCATTGTAGTCAAGCAAGGCTATGTTTGTTTTGTGGATATGCCCTGTAGCAAATGGACAACACACTTAGGCATTGTCCATGCAATAAAGATAGACAATATAATTATTATAATAAATGTATGTAGTGGCTGCTAGTATTGAGAGAGAGAAAAGGAGGGAGGTCGAGAGAGAGAGAGGTCGAGAGAGAGAGAGGTCGAGAGAGAGAGAGGTCGAGAGAGAGAGAGGTCGAGAGAGAGAGGTCGAGAGAGAGAGGGTCGAGAGAGAGGGTCGAGAGAGAGGGTCGAGAGAGAGGGTCGAGAGAGAGGGTCGAGAGAGAGGGTCGAGAGAGAGGGTCGAGAGAGAGGGTAGAGAGAGAGGGTAGAGAGAGAGAGAGATAGAGAGAGAGAGAGTAGAGAGAGAGAGATAGAGAGATATAGAGAGAGAGAGAGAGAGAGAGAGAGAGAGAGAGAGAGAGAGAGAGATGCAGTAAAACCAGGCATGCGAGGCCTTCCAACACAGAGGACTAGCCTAGCTGAAGAGCCCACACACATGTTATTGCATAGGCTAGTTGTTGCTTAGTATTCGGCCTACATAGTAATGATGTTATTATATGAAGGTGGTTGATATTACCATAGAAATAGGATTACTATTCTTCTATTTCTATGGATATTACATGAATACATAGTGATTACGTGATATAGCTATATGTACTATATTCACAGGTAGTACATTTCAAATGAGAGGTTAGTAGGTTATTAGATATGAGGTTACTATATCATCAAAACAGCTGTCTGTTTGTTTTAGTGTAGTCAGTGCTCTGGCATACATCTAGGGTGAATTGCATTGATTAATGTGTGATCAAATGAAAACTGCTGGGCTACATACTTTCAATGATTAATAACACAGCATTGGCTTATGGCTTAGATAGAAACACATAGATTAGATAGAAACATTTCCATATTGCTGGGGATTGATATTCCAACAGTACGGAACTGGTGTTCATTCAGACTGGATCACACACACACACTGTACTGTACCTCTTACTGGTGGTAGTTGCCAACTTGAGCCTAGGAGGTATGAGTTTCTAGAGAGCGAGAGAGATAGAGGGCCAAAGCATCTGATGTAGTAGAGCTCTGCAGTGTGTCCAGATAGCACATCACCCTCCCAAGCTACTCTACTGTCGGGGTGGAGAGTGTGTGTGTCAGGCTGAAGAGCAGGTCAATGCAGACAGGAGGCAGTCTGTATGAACTGCCGAGCTCTCTCCTCTCATATCCTGAAATGAGTCAGGAACTCCCTGTAGAACTCACTAACTCCAACAGCTTTGGCAGGGCCAACGGCTGGTCCTCCCCCTTAGCCTCACACACACTCAGACACACACATACATACACACACCTCCTCCGCCGCACAGAGCCTCAGAGCCTTAAACCATGTGGTGTGTGTGTGGTGGTGTGATGATGGAGAAGATGCCTCCCCCTCTCTCTCGAACCCTCGCCCCTCGGGCAGGCTGGCGTGGGATGCCGTCTTTAGGGAGAGCCCTGGCACTAACCCCCCCTCCCTACTCTGTCGGCTAGAGTGGCACTCTGCCACCCCTGGCATGCCGCCACCCGCACACTGAGCACTCACTCACTCGCTCCTCCCATCCCTTTTAATGTCTCTCTCACTCCCTCTTTCCATTTGCTCTCCCCCTCTCTCTCCATCCATCTCTCATATGCTCACCTTCTCTCTGCCTCTCCTTCCATCTTCCCCTGTCTCTCGCTCGACCTCCCCTTCTCCATTTTCCTTCCCCTCCATCTCTTTTTTCTCCTACTCCTGTCTCTCCTTCCATCCCTCTCTCACTCTTCGTCCTGTCCATCTCACCTAGCCCAAAGAGAGGTTGCGCACAGCAATATGGGAAGGCAAGGTGCTAGCATCCAGAATTTGCATGCATTTGCATGTCTTTGAGAGCGCCGCCATGATGAATTATAATCCACAGGCATTAAAGTAAACGCCGATGGATCAGACCTTTCATTCTAAATGAGATGTGATTTAAAACGCTGTTAATGCTGATTATTTACGCTCTGCCTTAGCCCAATCCTTCCCTCTCTCCTCTCTCTCAGCCCCCCCTTCCAGATTCTGCTTCATGCCTCCCTTCGATAACAACATTCCATTCCTTGTAAATGGGGTTAAATATTAGGTGTGTGTTGGTGGGGATGGTGGGGAAAGGTGTATGTTGCGGTAAGGTGTGTGTTGGGGGGGGGTGCGCTATAGTAAGGACATCCGTCTTCCCCTCCTCTCTGTGCTGCAGTAACCACTGCATTTAACCATGGAAAGGTGACTGGGAACCTGGATGTGTACAAACAGACCAGCTATGACCTCCGTAAGGCAATCAGAGGCAAAATGACAGTACAGGGACAAAATGGAATCAATTCAACGGACACGAGACGTACTGTATGTGGCAGGGACCTTAGACAATCACGTATTATAAAGGGAAAGCCAGCCACGTTACGGACACCGACACCACGCTCCTGGATCATATGAGAGGCTAGTTAAGGATCATATCACCTCCACCTTACCGACAACCTAGACCCACTATAATTTGCATATCGCCCCAACAGCTCCACGGACGACGCAATCACCATTGCACTGTACACTACCCTATCCCACCTGGACAAGAGAAATACCTATGTAAGAATACTGTTAATTGAATACACCTCAGCCTTCAGCACCATAGTGCCCTCCAAGCTCATCACTAAGCTCAGGGCCCTGGGTCTGCACCCCTCCCTGTGCAACTGGATCCTTGACTTCCTGACGGCCCGCCCCCAGGTGGTGAAGGTAGGCAACAACACCTCTGCCACGCTGATCCTCAACATGGGGGCCCCACAGGGGTGCATGCTCAGCCCCCTCCTGTACTCTCAGATCCTCCATGGCTGTGTGGCCGTGCACGTCTCCAACTCAACAGTGGTAGGCCTGATTACCAACAGCCTACAGGGATGAGGTGAAAGCCCTGGCGGAGTGGTGCCTGGAAAATAACCTCTCCCTCAATGTCAACAAAACTGAGTTGATTGTGGACTACAGGAGACAGAAGAGAGAGCAACCCCCCATTCATATCGATGGGGCCGCAGTGGAGAGGGTCAAAAGCTGCAAGTTCCTCGGCGTGCACTTCACTGACGACCTGAGGACGACCGGCATGCACCATTGAGAGCATCCTGTCGGGCTGTATCACCACGGCAATTTCACTGTCTGCAACCACAGGGCTCTCTAGAGGGTGGTGCGGTCAGCCCAACGCATCATCGGGGCACACTGCCTGCCCTCCAGGACAGCTACAGCACCCAGTGTCACAGGAAGGCCAAGAAGATCATCAAGGACCTCAACCACCCGAGCCACAGCCTGCTCACCCCACTACCATCTAGAAGGAGGAGACAGGACAGGTGCATCAAAGCTGGGACCGAGAGACTGAAAAACAGCTTCTATCTCCAGGCCATCAGACTGTTAAATAGTCACCACTAGCAGTACCCTGCCCTGAACCTTAGTCACTGTTACTAGCCGGCTATCACCCGGTACTCTACCCTGCACCTTAGACTGCTTTGCCCTATGCTGTACATAGTCATTGAACACTGGTCACTTTAATGTTTACGTACTGTTTTACCCACTTTATATGTATATACTGTATTCTAGTCATGGCTCATCCTATATAGCTACTGCTGTACACACCTTTTCTATTCACATACTGTCCATACTGTCCACACACACCATCATATATACATGTTTATAACATTGCTCGTTCTGATATTTATTTTAAAAAAATGTTTACTAGGTATTATTGCTTCACTGTTGGAGCTAGAAACACAAGCATTTTGCTGCACCTGTGATAACATCTGCAAATCTGTGTACGCGACCAATAATGTTTTTGATTTGAGTTGACCCATCTTTTTAACTACCAGACCCATCCTTTTAGCTACCAGACCCATCCCTTTAACTACCAGACCCATCCCCATAACTGCCAGACCCATCCCTTTAACTACCAGACCCATCCCTTTAACTACCAGACCCATCCCTTTAACTGCCAGACCCATCCCTTTAACTACCAGACCCATCCCTTTAACTACCAGACCCATCCCTTTAACTACCAGACCCATCCCTATAACTGCCAGACCCATCCCCATAACTGCCAGACCCATCCCCATAACTGCCAGACCCATCCCCATAACTGCCAGACCCATCCCCATAACTGCCAGACCCATCCCCATAACTGCCAGACCCATCCCCATAACTGCCAGACCCATCCCTTTAACTGCCAGACCCATCCCTTTAACTGCCAGACCCATCCCCATAACTGCCAGACCCATCCCCATAACTGCCAGACCCATCCCCATAACTGCCAGACCCATCCCCATAACTACCAGACCCATCCCCATAACTGCCAGACCCATCCCCATAACAGCCAGACCCATCCCCATAACAGCCAGACCCATCCCCATAACAGCCAGACCCATCCCCATAACAGCCAGACCCATCCCCATAACTGCCAGACCCATCCCCATAACTGCCAGACCCATCCCCATAACTGCCAGACCCATCCCCATAACTGCCAGACCCATCCCCATAACTGCCAGACCCATCCCCATAACTGCCAGACCCATCCCCATAACTGCCAGACCAATCCCCATAACTGCCAGACCATCCCCATAACTGCCAGACCATCCCCATAACTGCCAGACCCATCCCCATAACTGCCAGACCCATCCCCATAACTGCCAGACCCATCCCCATAACTGCCACACTGCATCTGCTGTCTGTCAGATCAATGGCAGTGGATAACACCACGATCAACGGGCCATTTTCGTCACACTTTTGCACAGCAAACACTTTTAATCTTATTGCACTGGATTTGGACCCAATCTCTCTCTGTCTTTTTCTGTCTGCATGTCTCTCTCTCTCGCGCTCTCTTACACTCTCCCTTTATCTCTCTCATTTTCTGTTTGTCTTTCTCTCTCTCTCTCTCTCTCTCGCGCACACACACACAAATACATTCACAATCTTTCATAGAGAGAATATTCACTTGTCAGCCACATTTAACAGCATACTGTCTCACACACACACAGACAGACAGAGAGACCATTCTGACACAACAGTGATTCATTCCATGACTGAAGTTGAAGTCTATTAAAAACCATGATGTTCCAGTATGGTGGTACAGACACCATCGTGGTGCCCGATCACCACAGTAAAAGTAGGCCAACCAAAGGCGATGACGTCAGATGACTGACTGACTCCCAACCCGTCTCACACAATCAGACTGCGCTAAGCGAACACTGTCATCGAGCGAAAAGGTTCATTAGCTCTACAAGCTATTCATCTCCCCGTTTGCTAATTAACAATCAATTACAAAACACAGAAGCCTCTCGCTAATTATCAATCACCGACATAGCATGAACCTCGTATATTATCCCTAGTCTCTGGTCCATTTTCAATAGAACATTTGTTCTAAAAGTTTTTGGGCCTCAGATGAAACAGGCTGCGTGTACAGTTAGCTTAAAACGCTAACTGTCCCTTCTTAGCTTCAAAGGCTAACACACAACACTTCCCTAGTACTTCTTTTGACCGCGGTGTTGGCTCCAGGGCCTAAAATGTACTTTTTGGTCCACCAGCCACTGTGGCAGTTAGATGGAAAATCTACCAGCCAAAAGTATTTTTGCGCCATAATTACCTAAAAGAAAATACACAACAAACTGATGACCATGCTTAATGTTTCTAAAACAAAACATTTATTAGTAAGAAATGATGTGATATATAGCTCAATTTCATTAATTTTTTGTGATCTGAGAAAATATCAGATGAGACAACATTTTCAGCTGCCACTTTGAGTGGGAGGTTTCCGTGGTAACCAGGCCACTGGAGTCCTGTCACATGTCTGTGTGTGTGAGATTTTGGATCTGACCAGGAGTAGACAGCATCTCTTCGCTATCAGTTGAAGCAGCAGACTCAAACTAACATTGAAAATCAACCGACCTTGTGAACAAAACAATGTAAATAGCCAAGAAACACGAGGACAAAGTCTCACTTTGTAAACTTTTGAGTACATTAGACCAACTTTTATGCCTGTGAGCAGAGCCTCCAAAAATGCATTTATCAGCACAGTGCCCAAATCTCCCCAGCCAGGTAGTGTTGCTGTGTGAGGTGGGATATAGATTCATATTTCTTTGTGTGATTAGCAGCTATGAAACAAAATGGCGGAAATACTTTGAAAACAGCTAGTGCAGCTCTAAATCACAACTCGCACATGTGCACATACTTGACTTTTTACTATATTTTTATTTGCAAATGCGAACGTAATGCTCGCACTGTAGAGCCCTGCAAATTGTCCACCCTACGTGGCTGGTGAAATTTAAATTTTTACCCTCCAGTACCTAAATATACCCGCAGGTGGTGGGTGTTAATTTTATGCCCTGGTTGACTCTTTGTAGCGACATAAGCTAACACACAACCCTCACCTAGCTCTTTGAGCTAGCATTGTTGTTTTGACTTTGGTGTTAGCTAGCGTTAGCTCCAATGTGTGTTTGTGTGTTAGCTCCGGTGTTAGCGGCGCTAGCTCCAGTGTTTGTGTTGTGTGTTTGTGCTGATGCAGGCATGTGAGTGTGGAGTGTTTTGGGAGGGAGGGGGAGAGCAGAAGGCAGCCTGTGGGAGAGCAGCTGTGATGTGGATGGAGCCTGAGAGCTTAGAGGACGTACGCTGCTGCTTGAAGCCCAAGCTGAAGAGGGATATGAGAGCTGAGGATCAGATCAACACTTGCTTTTAATTGCTGTGCGGTTCTGTACCCCATGTAGTTTATTTCCCAACAGATTATTTTTTATTTTGGCTGTGTAGGTAAATTGCACTATTGTGAAGGGATGGATGTGTTGCCTCGTGGGAAATGTAGTGTTTTGGGGAGTTGCAGTGTACATTTTACTACGAAAGGACAGATGCAGTGTGTCGTGGGAAGTGTAGTTTCTTTGCAGGTGTTATATGGGTTACAGTGTAATTGTTCTGTAGGGGGAACAAATTAGGTGCTTTGGGAATGTGTCGTTTTTTCTATTGTGCTGAGGGCACAAACATGATGCACCATGGGAAATGCAGTTGTAATTGAACAGTGGGGTAGAGATGAGATGCCACATGGGAAGTGTAGGTTTGTCGGTTAATACAGCCTTATCAGTGAACAGCGGAGATACATTGAGTACTGAATAGCAGCACGAACTCTGGGGGGCTCCGAGGCCCTACAGACACACACACACAGAGACACAGCCAATCACTCACCTATCATAGGCAGTAAGGATAGACAGTTCTGAGACATACAGGCAAACTCTTTTGTTGTGGTTTACTCAATGGCTTTTTGTAGTACTTTCAACCAACTTTTTGTCTGGTTGACAGCTTGCCATCGACCCCCTCACCCTAAACCCCCCATGGGTTCCTGTCATGTCCCATCAAATTCCCCTCCCCCACACCCTGTGCACTGTGGAGTGTGGAAAAGCATGGCCCCTTCCTCCTGACTGTTCGATACCTCATTAACTAGTAAGCGTTCGTATTGGACGCATAATGGACACTTTCACATCGACCCTACCTCTCATACCCACACACACACACACACACACCGCCAGCAGCAGTGCTCTGAGGGCCTTGTGACATGTCCAGGGTGACAGTGACATGCGCCACTAGCCAAGCTCTATTTCCCCTGGCCAGACCACACACACACACACTCCTGCCTCCACCGCACCCTGGGGTCAGGAGAGGACATAGAGCCAGAGGGGGGGCTGTGAGGGCTGGGGTTGGAGAGTGGGTGTAGGTCATTTAAACTTCAGTCACTTCACAGTGGGTGATCTCATGGGGAGAGCCAATAAAAGAAAGAAATAGAAGGATTACTGCTAGTCCTATTCAGACTTTGGAGCCAATACTCTAACCTAGGTCTGCCCCAGTTTTCTGCTAATTCATCTTTAGCCAGCTCCTCTTTAGCCAGCTCCTCTTTAACTATGTCTATAGGGTTCCCTTTGTTATACTTGTGTTGTATCATAATCATTTAGGCTGGTTTATATGGTCAACATTTTCTTTCAGTGGAAAATGACCTACAAGAGACATGATTACATTGGTCTGTCTGCGTATTTTACCATCAAATGCACTTGTGTAGGTCGAATCTCAAAGTTCTCAGCCTGCGTGTGTCTCTGCCTTGTACTTGCATGTCTCTACCTGGTGTGTGTGTGTGAAGATGAACTAGGCCCACATACCTTTAAAAAAGCTAGTTGACAATGTTTCTATCCTAGAGTAGGGCTGTAGTCGTGACATTTTGTCAGCCGGTGATTGTCAAGCAAATGACTGCCGGTCTCACGTTTAACATCTCCTGGCTTCCATGCATAGTTTACAAGCCACTGATGCAGACCTTTGGAACATCTACATTTAAAAAAGTCTAATAGATCCATTTAATATAGCCTACACCATCACATAAAATACATTATTTATTTTAGACAGGTCTAAAGAAACATGATATGAAGAAAATGTAGTCTATTTCAGAAGAACAGAATAGCATACTCTGAGTTGTCCTTATGTTTGGCCCTGATCTGGCTTTCCCGTGGTTAATTTTCATGCCAGCAAGGTAGGCTATACTCCTGTTGTAAAGAGATGCAATGTGCTAAATATTAGGAAAGTTGATAAATAAATATAGTAGGACTAGCCTATAGAAAGCTGATGGGATACTCCTCTTTTTAATAGAGGTCATCCAAACTCTGTTTTCTCACGCAATTGCATAGCCTATAGAAATGTTACTGCAACATGAGCTCATGGGCTCTCATGAAGTGTTTGATTAGATTTTTGGTGACATTTGCATTGATGTCAGAGTGATTAGAGGGACAATAGAGTGCTGAGTACCAGCAGTTAGCAAGTTGGGTAGGCTACTAATGACCAGCAGCAGCATCAGATCTTGGAGAAGCCTAGTTACCGTGACTAAACGGTCACGTGGAATTTGACTGCGGTCCTGACTCGTGACCGTCGGTGTGACGGTAATACGGTCACGGTAACAGCCCTATTGACGGTAATACGGTCACCGTAACAGCCCTATCCAAGAGTGGATCTGCGTGTGTGTATAGCCTTTATAACGTCGTGCGTTGTGCGCCTGCACTCACGGAAGCCAGGTCCTCTGATGGGGCGCTCCCCTGTCGTTGGTCCTCCTTAACTCGTTGAACCTGCGGGCGCTGTCATGCCACGTTGTGCCCCTCGCTGCCTGAACGCCACTGACAGACCACACTGCTGGAGCTACCAGCATGCACCGGGGCCTGTCCCAGCATGCCTCAGACAGGGACTTCAGGGACAGACACACGCATGCAGACGCGCACTGTCACGCGAATACACACACACACACACACACACACACACACAGGCAGACATACCATACTCACACTCACTGACACACACACACACACTTACATGCACACACACACACACACATACACTCGCTTACATACTCACATACACAGCCTCAAGGGAGCAGATTAAAAGAGGGGCTTTTCAAATCAAATCCATGTTACCAGGATGTCTGGAGAGACATGGGGAGAACACAGTCTCCTCTCCCTTCGCCATGCACTATTCATTGAACAGATACAGACATACAGACAAAGTGGTGTAGTTTTCTCTGTTAAAGATGCACTATGCAGAAATAGCGCCGCCATTTCCTGGTTACTGAAATTCTAATGGTTAGCCTAATTTCAGTTTGTGTGACAAAACAAACAATTATAGTGTAGAGAATCATTGTACCATCTAAACCACTGTGAAATATATTTTTCATAACCATAAATAAAGTATTTTCAGCTGTTTGAAGCTGGTGTACAAAGCCGAAACTTAAGAACGGGAAGCATAGAAATAGCACACGTAGAACAGATCTACCGCTTCTTAGACTTTCTATGTGAATTTGGTCAGGTCGCCCAAAAAGTTCCATATTGCAGCTTTAAGAGTAACACCTAGGACTGCAGAGTCAGACAAGCCCGGCAAGAACTACGAAGCTAGGAGTAGTTGCTATTCAGAAGTACAGAGGCAGACTGTTCAGAAGATAAGTTGGACTTGGATACAGTTGTTAATCCATTGCTGACTATTCATAAAATGGAATACATTTGGTCTCTCTTTTTGTGTTTTGGGGGAAAGGGAGAGAGAGGGAAAAAGAGAGAAAGAAAGAGGGATGTTTTGCAAGTTGGACAAGGCATCGGGTGTCTAATACAACTGATACTTAGTGTTGCTAATGAGCGGTAGCTTTGTTGTACAAAATGAAGAACATTATTCCAGATTGACTGTAATGGGGTTCTAAGGCATCATCTGCATTGAGTCAGACACTATGGTAACGAATGTACTCTCTGTACCAAAAACAGGATGCACAGGATCTGTTCATCCAAAATCTTGGCCGTTTTCACACGTTCTGAGAAATAATAGATAGTCACTCACAGACCTCCTGCCAAAAACCTGCCATCTAGCACATTCACACACTCACTCCAAAACACCACCTGAGCTTGTAGACACACACACACACACACACACACACAATCCCCAAAACACCACCTGTGCATACTGATCCACCAAACACACACACACACACTCTTACTTAGTCTTATTCTACACACACTCTCGACCAACAACACCATATTCCCACCACCTCCCAGTCTGCCAGGTAGTGGCAGGTTGTTCACCATCACCAGACTGGTATAGATGGTACCAGGGGCATCTGTCTGGCATATGGAGCTCTGTGGGGCCATCCAGTACTATTCTATCTGCCTATCCCTTTCTCTCTCTCTCTCTCTCTCTCTCTCTCTCTCTCTCTCTCTCTCTCTCTCTCTCTCTCTCTCTCTCTCTCTCTCTCTCTCTCTCTCGCTCTCGCTCTCGCTCTCGCTCTTCCTCCTCTCCCCACCTACCATCATTCTGAAATACACAAAGCCTACCCCCACCTACCTGTTTATTCATTTAGTTGAGATATTTAATTCCGTATTATTTTAGTTTGCTGGTTGAATGGCTAGTGATTGTCCCTACTCCACTGGAAGTAGAGCCACTCTGGTGGCTGTGAAAAGGGTCCTGAAAGGGCTTTTCTGGAACAGCATATGGGCCCATGTTAGGAGGATGCTAGGCACACATACACACACTGGTTTCCGGCTCTCACATACTGTACTGAAGAGAACAGCAGGAGACTTGTCTGTCAGGAAGGCACCCCTTAGTTAAAGGACAAAGAGCTTGGCTAGCTGCCTGGCACCCTTTCATTTATATAGTAATGCCTCCATATACTCCCCTGCTATTGGCCAGGACCAAAGTAATGCCTCCATATACTCCCCTGCTATTGGCCAGGACCAAAGTAATGCCTCCATATACTCCCCTGCTATTGGCCAGGACCAAAGTAATGCCTCCATATACTCCCCTGCTATTGGCCAGGACCAAAGTAATGCCTCCATATACTCCCCTGCTATTGGCCAGGACCAAAGTAATGCCTCCATATACTCCCCTGCTATTGGCCAGGACCAAAGTAATGCCTCCATATACTCCCCTGCTATTGGCCAGGACCAAAGTAATGCCTCCATATACTCCCCTGCTATTGGCCAGGACCAAAGTAATGCCTCCATATACTCCCCTGCTATTGGCCAGGACCAAAGTAATGCCTCCATATACTCCCCTGCTATTGGCCAGGACCAAAGTAATGCCTCCATATACTCCCCTGCTATTGGCCAGGACCAAAGTAATGCCTCCATATACTCCCCTGCTATTGGCCAGGACCAAAGTAATGCCTCCTTGTAGTCCCCTGCTATTGGC